TCCCTCCCTCCCCTCCCTTCCCCAGCCCGGCCCCGGCTCCGGCCCAGGCCCATTTGCTCTTCGGTCTTCTGCAGAGAGGATGTCGGGCTCGTCGCTCCCCAGCGCGTTGGTCCTCTCGCTGTTGCTGGTCTCTGGTTCCCTCCTCCCAGGGCCTGGCGCCGCTCAGAACGGTAAGCGGGGCGCCGGGGGCGGGCCGGGGCCTGAGGTGGTGCCGGAGCAAGGGGAAGGGAGCCGGCGGGAGAGTCTGAGGGGGACTGCGGACCCGCGGGGAGGGGGGGAGACGCGGGTCGCGAGTTGGAGGCGTGGGTGTGAGAACGGGAGGCGCCTGTCGGAGACGTGGGGGCGTCGATCGGAGACTGAGATGTACTGCTGGCTTAGAGGCGCGCCACATCGTGGGGCTCGTCGCTCCCAGTCGGGGAGGAGACACCCAGGAAGCCGACGTGAGGAGCGGGAGTAGCAGGGGACGCAGCTTTTAATGAAGGCGGCCAGGGCTCCTGGCCAGTGTTGCTCAGTTGGTTGAGCGTTGGCTTGTGTACCAAGAGGTCGCCGGTTGGATTCCTGGCCAGGGCACATATCCAGGTTGCGGGTTCGGTCCCCCTACCCGATGTTTCTGACATTGATGTTTCTCTCTCTCCCTCCCTCCCTCTCCCGTCCTCTCTCTAAAATCAATAAAACATTTAAAAAAAGAAGGTGGCTTTTGTGTTTAAGGAGAGTGGTGTCAGCGTGATCTGCAGGAGAGTGGGGTTCCCAAGCGTAGTGGTCGTCTAGGATTCTGCTGGGCCCCGTAAGACAGGTGACATCCTTAAAAAATAAGGGAGGCGTTGGGTGAAAGGGAGTCCAGAAGAATACTGAGCAGAATATTAGAATCCTTAGGAGGGGGTGAAAAATCAGAGAGCCATGACTGTGGAGGTGGAGGGAAGGGGGGTGGAAAGCTAAAGGGAAGCAGCAGTGGCTCTAAACTAGATGGGAAGAGGGCTGGGTTTGCTGAGGAGGGTGGAGTGTGGGCATTCTAGTATGGTGGTTGGGAGAGCAAGAAGGAGTTTCTAAATAAGGAGAGGAAAAATGAGCAGAGGATGGGGAAGGAGGGTTGTAACAGAGGTAGGGGGAATATTTTTTAGGGGGAAAAAGGTACCTGAGTATAGACGTGGGGGTGAGTGAAGACAGAAGAAGGGAAGGGAGTAAAATGCAGGAAGCTGGGGGTGTAATGTTGGTTTGCAGTGTGGAGAATGTATTAAGGAAGGGAGCAGCTGAGTAGTGGCAAGCACTTACAATAGTGGCTGAGCCTTTGGGGAAGGCACATAGCTGGAACTGCAGTGGTGGGATTGAGGACAGTGGCTAGAGGGAGACAGAAGTGGGTTTTTAAAATATAAAAGTTTCAAGACAAGAAAGATTGTATCTGAGGAACGTAAAAGTAGTACTTGAGATGTGTGTAGGGTACAGTGGAAATGAGATAATTGGATTTTGAGCTGAAGCTCTTTAAAGAAGATGGAGAAATGGGGAATCATGGGGATAAGGGATCTGTTCTAGACAAAGATTCTGATTGTTGAAGGCAGGTGTTACAATTCAGCTGCTGAATTTGTATTTTAGACGTATTGTGAACTGATTTCTCCTTTTGTGGAAACAGCCTTTAAGGGGTTTACAAATATTTTTATAGGAAAGAATTTATGAGAAGTCAGTAGTGGAGAGTGAACTATAAATTATTTTTGCTAATGCTTTAGTGTTTCTTTGTTGTTAGGCTAGAACAATTTAAAATTACTCTTGTTGGAATAGCTGAAATTTAAGTTACTTTCATTAAAAAAAAAATGTTAGAGCAGTGGAGTCAAGCATTCTTAGGCGAATCCAAGCTTATAATGCTTAAGATTACAGTGAAAATATATCTAATAAAGGATTGGAAAAACATCATGGAGTAATTATAAATGTTTGTTGTACCAAATCGGACCAGTCAAATCCTATGTATACTTGATGGCCTTGATTGATCACTGCAGGGTTCAGGGTTCAATGTCTATAGCATTGAATATGTTAAGTATATTGGGTATTTTTCCTGTTTTCCCCCAGAGCATAAGGCCACTGTGGAAGGCAGTGTAGAGTTGGACTGATTTGTCTTACCAGTTTTTAGTTTGTGTGTTAACAATATGACTTAAAGAAGCTTAATACCTATTTCAGCTATTTGATTTGGGAAAATAGCATGGTTTCATTTGTCCTCGTAAATGAGAGATTCTTGATCTTGATATTAACATGTGTAATCTTTGCTGGCATAGCATCTTTCAATGACTGATAATACAGCAAAATTGTAGTTTCTTAGCAACTAAAGCAAGGTTTTTGGACAGGCCTTCAGAGACTCATCTGGCTGTCTCAGTGATATGTGTTCTACATACAGTGTAGTGTAGCCTTTTTCTTGAAATGAGCTTAAGTTCAGTCACATGACATGACTGGTGAAATAAAACTGACTTTGTAATTGACCCAAAGGAATGTAAATTTAATTCCAGGAAGAAATGGCTATTATTTGAGTTTGAATCCCCATAGGTAAGGATGTTTTTTTTTTTTTTTTTTTTAATAGCTTTCTATAACATAATAAGATTCAAGCTTTGATTTGGTAGTAGCCCTACATCTGACTTCATGGCATGGCATTTGTATTTTTTTTTTAATTTTAATTTTAAAAATAATTAGAATATATTTATCAGACTTTTCAAAACTCATTCTTGAGATGTTTTTGTTTAGAGTTCCAGAAGCATTTACTTTGTGCTCAGTGATACTAGGGGTGTGTGAACTAATAGAAGCAAGTGGTCTCTTGCTGTAAGGGATTGGTTCTAAAAGACAGTCATGTCGAAGGGCACCTGGATACTCCTGAGTGAAAAGAAATAGAGAACATCTGTAGATGTGACCGTGATCTACTGTACTGTCTGTCCTGACAGCAGAGATTCCTTTCTCATTCCTCTAAGTTTATCCCCTCCAGAGCTCTTCAGTGGAGTGTGATTCTGAGCTTGAACAGGACCCACTCTTCTTTCTTCTGTTAAAGCTAACATTGATACAGTACACATGTGACTGGAACTCTACTAGAACTTTGTCAGCCTCATTTCATTTGATACACACAGTGGCAGCTGATAATGTATGCTCTGTACTACACAGGCTCCTCAGGGGTTAGATCCTAGTCCCTTTATTCTTTAGTGGTGTGATCATGGGCAAGTTATTTAACTCTCCTGACTCTTGATTTCCTCATCTGCTCTGATGCAGTTGGCAGTTGGCTGGGTGCTTAGATTGGAGACGTGGAGAACCAAGGTAATGACTCTAGAGCTGGAGGAGCCTGAGTCTGTATTTTCCTACAGTATTTCAGAAATAGGTATCATGCTCTGTTTGATGTTGAAATGTTAGAAATGTTAGATTATCTATTTGAAATGATGACTTTAAAAACCCCCAAAACCTACATGTTTCTGGATTGGATATGTGGTAGTTTAAAGTGAATGTTGATGCTTTTCAAAAGGTCTCTGTTTCATTATTCCTAAAACAAAGAATTTGGACTAGACCCTCAAGGTCTCTTCCAGCTGTGATCCATTACCATAGAGATTCAAGGCTTTCATTCAGATTTTGTTTCCCATCCAAAATCTTTTAGGTGTTGATTTTTGTATGCAATAAGATAAATGTAGTTCATTTTAAAAGAAGAAACTTGCCCTAAAAAGTAACCTTCCTGTTATGACTTTCAAGAGCTTTAGACTAAAGTTAAAATTGAATGAGTGTATACCAAGCAGTATTATATGGTAATCAAGAGCACAGACTTTGGATCCTGATAGACCTGGATTTGAGTCCCAGCCCTCTGTAGCTAAGTGACCTTGAGTGAGGTGCTTAATACTTCCAAGCCTCAGTTTTATCATTGTAAAATGGAGTTTATAATAATATCAATCCCATAGAGATGATCTGAGGATTAAATAAGATAATGTCCATCAAGCACTTTGATTTCTGCCTGGCATATAGTCTCAGTAGGGAGTATACTTTTACTAATCGTAATACTTGTTACTATAACGTAACATATGCTACATTACTTTATGTAGCATAACAGTACTGTTGTGTCCTAAATGCTTACTCTCAATAGTGAATAAATGTAAGCTGTTACTACTATTATACTTTAAAAAGTAGCATTATTAGTCATTTTTCTTTATGTATATATTGAACATTTAATTGTTAATGCTGTCATCTTGAATAAAATTAAGTGTGCTATTTGAAAGCCCCAAACAGAGAGTTGCGCTTTTGCATAGGTAACTTTAAGAAAAGTGACCAGCAGTGCTGCAATTTCAAATTCTGCTGAGTAAGTTTGTATTTCTAGTTCATAGGCTGGGAGATGGTATGACTTTCTTTTTCTTTCAGTGAAATATATATGTTTTTATTGTTGTGAGTAAGAGAAATAGAGTGTAGTACCTGGCACACAGTGGGAGTGTTGGAGACGTTAGCTGATGAATGAACATGGACTGGAGTGTAAAAATATACTTACAGTGAAAATAGAAAATTGATAATTAACGGAGTTTAGTGGGAGAAAATAAAGAGTGAAATGAATTTTACTACTAATGAGCTAAATTTTAAGAAACCATTTTGCTTGGGTGATACTAGATAGCTGTGAACATTGTGCCTTATAAGAATGCCAGTATTTGCATGAGATAATTCATGAATCTTTTTCTGTCAAATGCTGCTTGCTTCAGTGGTTTGGCAAATTGCTCTCCCTGAGTACATTTTTAGATGTGTATATGCTATGTTTTGCTGTTGTTGTTTAATATGTTTTTGATTTCAGAGAGAGGAAGGTAGAGGAGGGAGAGAGAGAGAGAAACATCGATGAGAGAGAAACATTGATCAGCTGGCTTCTGCATGCCCCCTACTGGGGATCGAACCCCACAACCTGGGCATGTGCCCTGACCGGAAATTGAACTGCAACCTCCTGGTGCATGAGATGATGTTCAACCAACTGAGCCACACCGGCCAGGCTGTATTTGCTATTGATTGTGCATCTCCTCTTTGGGTGAACTGAAATGAGCAACAGAAGACAGATGTCATCTATGGCAGCTGTACAAAAATGACATGTCAAAGCAACAGATCTTAATACAATTAATCCAAGTGAAAATTTAAGTGATCAGAAGAAATAGTTTGCCTTGGATTAAAGCATTTCGTAAGAAGATCATAAGCCTCCAGT